GAAACGTCTCATGGTTCGTCCTAAAAACAAGAAAGCAAATATCAAGTGCTACAATTGTCATCGAAATGGTCACTATGCTTGTGAGTGTACTGAACCTAAGAAGGTACAAACTTTCAAGACATTCAAGATTTGTTTTTTCACTTCTAAAAGTTGTGTTTCTAGCTTTGTCTTATTGACTGACTCTTATCCTTTGTGGACTATAGACCTAGGAGCAACCAACCACGTAGCTAAAGATCATGGGGTGTGTGGAATTTTGTCGAATTCCATCAGGAGCTAGGTGGCTGTATGTAGGAAACAATGCCCTAGTGCCTGTAAAGGGCATTGGTTCCTGCAAGTTGAACATGCGTAATGGACGCACTCTACTTCTGCATAATGTGTTGTATGCACTTGATATTTGGTGAAATTTGGTTTCTGTTACTGTCCTTCTCAAACTTGGTTACACTTTTACTTTGACTGGAAACTCATTAACTCTATCTTTGAACAATATACATTATGGTTATGGTTTTATTTTTTAATTGTTTTATTGTATTGGATGTTGTTGCGACGATATCTTACAATTATGTAAGTTTTTCCTTTATAACATCATCTGTTGATGCCAATATTGACATGATTATGTGACATACTAGATTAAGTCATATAGGTCAACATAGAATGACTAGATTGGCTAAGAAATGTTTATTAGGTCAATTTGATAAAATAAAATTACCTTTATGTGAAAGCTGTCTAGCGGAAAAAGGCAAGAAAACTATTTGGTAAGGGAACTAGGGTTGAAACTCCATTGCAATTAATTCATTCTGATATTTGTGGACCCATGAGTACAAAGGCTAGACATGGAAGTGAATATTTTATCACTTTCATTGATGATTTCACACGTTATGGTCATGTTTATTTGATTTCCCACAAGTCTGAAGCATTAGAATGTTTTAGAAAATTTGTAAACTTGGTGGAAAATCAATTAGATAAAAATGTTAAGGCCTTAAGAACTAATCGAGGGCGTGAATTTCTGTCTAATCAGTTTAGGCAACTATGTGACGAAAAAAGGTATAGTAAGGCAGATAGCTACTCCCCAAACACTACAACAACATGAAGTAGTTGAAAGAAGAAATAGAACTGTTCTTAAAATGGTCAGGTCAATGATGGCTCAAGTGAACTTGCCAATCATCTTTTGGTGTGATGCTCTATTGACACCTACTTATATCATTAATCATGTGCCTTACAAATTTGTTGCTTCCATACCCTATGAGTTATGGACTAGTAGAAAACCCGACCTTAGTGGTCTAAGGTCATGGGGTTGTGCTGCTTATATACATGAGTCATCACATTCACATGGAAAATTAGGTCCAAGAGGTAAAAAGAATATATTTATAAGATACTCGGAACACTCAAAAGGGTATGTGTTCATTGGTGAACAAGAAAGTGTGAGTGTAACTGAATTTGAATCACGAGATGCTACTTTCTTGGAGAATGATTTTCCAAGGAGAGGTGAAATTAGTGATGAGATATCCCTATTTGAAAATTATAATCAGAATGATTTGCTTTCATCAAATCCATTGTGGGATAGTCTCAGTACTGTACCAACAGTATCTCATCCAAGTGGGAGATATCTAACCACTACGTGTGAGTTTGACGAATCACAAACCACTCGTGACTCAATTGATCAGTTGTCATGTGATTCAATGGAATCAACACTTGAACAATCAATAGAACCACAAATAAAACGCAGTAATCGTGGTAGAATTTCGAAACGTCGTTTTGACGATGAAATTTATATGATTACACCCGATGATGATAAAGAGCCGAGAAGTGTTCAGGAAGCTCTTCGATGTCCCAATAGAGAAAAATGGATGAAATCAATGGAAGAATAAATGGAGTTAACGAAAGTTAATAATGTTTGGGAGTTAGTCGATCTCCCAAAAGAACGCAAAGCAATTGGTAACCAGTAGATTCTTAAGATTAAGCGCAAGGCTGACAACTCTATTGAAAGATATAAAGCTAGACTTGTAGCAAAAGAATTCACACAACAAGAATGAATATACTATGATGAGACTTTCTTGCCTGTTGTGAGGTTTGCCTCTATAAGACTCATTCTAGCCATAGTCGCCGGTTTAGACTTGGATTTACATCAAATGGATGTAAAAACAACATTTCTAAATGGTGAATTAGAAGAAGAAATTTAAATAAAGCAACCCATGGTTTTGTTACTGAAGGACAATAAGATAAAGTATGTAAATTAATAAGATCAATTTATGGCCTTAAACAATCTTCGAAACAGTGGTACATCAGATTTCACAAAGTAATCATCTCATATTATTTTCATATGATCGATGAGGATCACTGTGTGTATGTCAAAACAAACAAAGATAAGTTTCTAATTCTTTCACTATATGTGGATGACATATGTTCGCTGGAAATGATAAGGAGTATGTGTTAGCCATTAAGGAATTGTTGTCCTCAAACTTTCAAATGAAAGATAAGGGTGAGGCAACTTATATACTTGGAGTTAAGATTAAAAGAGATCGCTCCAAAAAGATGTTAGCCGTGTCACAAGGCCAATGCATCTAGAAAATTCTTGAAAGGTTTAATATGCAAGACTGCAAACTCATTGATACTCCAATCGTAAAAGGCGAAAATTTGAGTCAAAGAATGTGTCCTACGACTCCTGAGAAAATAGAGCTCATGTGAAAAGTTCCTTATCAGAGTGCTATTGGAAGCCTCATGTATGCTATGATGTGTACGAGTCTAGATATGCCATTGACATGGTAAGTAGATACCGGTCAAACCCTGGCCAACCCCATTGGAAGGCTATTAAGAGAATACTTTGGTATCTCAAAGGTACTATGAATTATTCGCTGTGCTACCAAGGAAACAATTTAGAATTAGAAGGCTACTCGGACGCTGATTGAGGAGGAGATATGGATGAAAGAAAATCCACCTCGGGATATATCTTCTTACTCAATAATGGTGCAATATATTGGAGTAGCAAGAAACAAACTTGTATAACCTTGTTTACAATGGAAGCTGAATTTGTGGCACTTTCAACGACGGTACAAGAAGCAGTATGACTTAAGATATTCTTAAGTCATTTGGGATTTAAAGAAAGTGTGCCTGACTCAGTAATGGTAAACTGTGATAGTCATGGTGCTATAGCTTTCACGAAGAATAAAAAATCACTCTAAGACAAAGCACATAGATATCAAAAATAAATTTGTTAGAGATATGATTGCACAAAAGGAAGTAAATGTGCAATATATATTAACGAGCAACATTGTTGCGGACCCCTTTACTAAGTCTATTCCTAAAGATGTATTTAATAGCCACATTAAATCTTTACAATTGCGAAGACTTTAAGTTTGTATTTTTGAACAAATTGTATTGTGTTTTTTAAAACTATGGAATAAAGTTTTGTACTTCATTATGCATGCACACAAAAATGTTTAGTACATTTAATGAGAAGTATGTTGAATAGTAGATTGGCTCTCACACACGAGCAATCGCTTCTATGACTTGCGTGTCAGTTAGAAACGAGATAATTTAAAGCAATTTTATTGTTGTAGTAGTACAATAAAATATGAGAGCAAGTGCTAGCTTAAAATGAGATATTGCCTTGATATGTGATCAAGATGAGATCATATTATGATCGAATGTGACAAATTCCATTATTCACCTTAAACTGTCTTTGAATGCCATATGGAAGTCTTGTTATCATTAATTGATAAATTATTAAGGTAGAGTTATGGGCTCAAGTTAGATATTGAGTATATCTAATCTATCATCTGTACAGTATTTAGTTGAGACATACACTCTAACGAGATAGAGTAAAATACTGTAACACGTGTTTCATACCACGTGTGCACAATTTGACCACCAAGGGTAGCAGAAGTTAATTAATCTCTACTTCTTGTTGTGTGAGACCTGTGAGATTAAGAAATCTCCACAAATACCCTTATGACCTTTTTAGCTAAAATTTGGAAGTTCTATTGCAATATTAGCTTTCTAAGGGAGGTTGCTAATGGTCATGAATGATTCTATCTAATGGGACACACCTAGAAAGCAATTGTTTGGGAATGGAAATCTTTTAGGAAAGGAAAAATCATTTCAAGTGTCACATTATAGTGTATTCACACGTCAACCAATTATATTTTTGTAATATAATTGTGAATACACACATATATGAAATTAATATTTCAAAAGAGATCATTAGTTGTAATAAATGTGACTAAATGACTCTAGGGCACTTCATACTGACTCTACTCACTTATTCAAGTTACTTTACATACTTAATAGTTGTAAAGTGACTCGTTCTCGAAATTAAAGTATAATGGTCACACGACCTGTTAATTTTTGATGTGGAATGTGTTTCCTGCTTTTGGAGCCCCATATGAAGATGGGACATAGTTTTTTTTTGTATAGTCCGCCCATAATGAAAGTACATTATGTGCGAGTGGGAGATGTAGAATTTAATAAAATCCAAAATTCAAATAAATTTGAATTTGAAAATGAAGGAGCAGTTATGTAACTGCTCCTCCCCCTAAAATCTCTCCACTGTCTCTCATTGGGTGTGTGTCATACGAGGGGTGAGAGTTACTCCTAGAAATCGAGAGAGATTCTTAGAAAACATATAGAAAGAACCTAGAGTCTTGTTGTCTCAAAATTCTTTACCACTTGAAGAATTCAGGTGGTGAATCGTGAGATTTTTCCGTTCGTTATTGATCTTCGACCGCGATTTGGTTTTCGTGGATTCCACTGCGATGCTACAAAAGGTTAGTTTAGTATCATATCCCACGAAAAACTCAACAAAAAGAGAGATAATATACAAGAAAGTTAGAGGAGGAGTAGAGATGATCATTTGGTATTCAAGGTGATGTCAACGGAAAAAAATAGAAAATATCACTTCAAAAGTGGTACGAATCAATCGTGCTATGAGAAAAGGACTATTTGGCCCAAAAACAAAAAAAGAAAAAAAAAACAGAAAAAAAAGTACACTACAATCTACAGTAAACCAAGAAAAGAGAAAAAAAAAAACCCCCCGAAAAACCCTTGAGATGTTGTGGCACCGGCCGGGGGCAGCGTACTTCTGTGCCTTAAAACCCTACTTTCTTTGTAACTATTTCACTTTCGCCACTACCAAATGCACCAATAAATCTTCTTCGATTACAGTCATGGCGACGAAAACCATAGGCGAATCGGATGTTGGGATAGTCAGTTACATTTCTGCGCTCCCTGGCTTTCGCGGCATTCTTAAGCAAAGGTCTCAGCTTATCTTTCAGGGGGTCCTGTGTCTGCTCTTGCTACAAATTTTCTACTATCTGCTTGATTGTAAAGAAATTGAAGTTAATTTACGGAAAATTGAAATACTTCTTCTGAACCGGTTACACAATCCGAATATATGAGCGGAGGGGTTACTTCACTTACTAATCACTGTTATGAATTAGTCAAGATAACTGGCACCATGGAAATATTCTTTGCTCTAGTTGGAAGAGTTTTTTGTGAGTGTTTTTGGTCCTGGTTCTCCCCCTTGAAGGAAATTAATGTTTCCTCTCCAAAAAAAAGAATAAAAAAAAATACTAAGAACAATAGAAATGTTTCCTATTGTATAGCACCAGGTATTTGTTCTCTTTCTATTCTTTGAGTGAGAAGATGAAGCAATGAGCTGTTAGTTTGCTGTAGGAACGTTAATATCTAATACTAAGAGTATCATTTAAGCCATAATCTCACAAGGTCTGAAGGGAGGGAAGATTTTTCTTTATTACTTTATTATTACTATTATTATTTTTTGACTTTTAGAATCCCATCATTGTAAAATTTTCCACCTTGGTTTTGATATAGGTATTCTGACTTCATTGTGAATGAAGTTGATAGAGATGGAAATGTTGTTCATTTGACGTCATTGGATGCTCCTCCAGAGGTGGTGAAGTTAAATTCTCAGTGTTTCCATTACAGGCCTTGAATATTGATTTTTTCCTCTTTTGCGTGCGTGTGTGATCATTTTAATTATTTTGAGGCATTCAGATTGTTGATGAGAGCAGACCAACGACAGTCCAGAATACAAGTGACAGTTATGCTTCTGAAATTGAATTGTTTAGATCTCTTGCTGGTGACTCTGATGCGGAGATTTTAGAAGCTTTTCTCAAGCAAATCAATTCTGGTGCCGATGACAGTATTGCACCTATTATTTTTTCCCCAGATACGGATAAAACCCACCGGACGGTTCGCTCTAAGACTTTGTTAATGTATTTGTACATTTATTTTCTGAGTCCATCTTGAGCTTCTTCATTCCAAGTAACAATCAGTGCGGGCAAATCTTCTTTCTTTGTTCTTTTAGCTGATTTCCTAGTATATTGGTTTAGTTTGGCTAAAACTAATCATTGTAGGATAGATATATTTTTTAAAATTTGTAAGTTTTTTTTGCTCAAATGGGTAATTTATCTCATCATTTAGTCAAATTCAATGAATAAAAAGAAACCCTTTCCTTTCCTTTCTCATCACCATATAATTTACTCTTTAAATTCGAGGTTTTCAGGCTATCCACAATTTCTTTAAGAAATTTAAGTTCCTTGTCACCGATACTATTGATGGACCAGATTCTTCATCAAAATGTGTTCGGGTGAGGGTAGATTCAGGAGTGCAGAATAACCGAGGTCGATCCTCAAATAAACGGAAAGAAAGAGGCGATAAGCCCTTTGACAGTAGAGGTTCAGACAACTGGCCTGAACATGTTGGCAAGTTTCTCAAGTAAGGGGTTTTTTACTTTCTAGTGATTATGCTTCTTTTGTGGATGCCTAAAGCTTCTTGCCTGCTTTTTCATTGTTTTATCATCCCTTTCTATAAGTCCCTTCGGGGCATTTGATAAAATCGTCCATTCTATAAGAAAAGTTTTATATTTTTTGCTTAGGTCTTTAACTTCTAAATTGATTGCTGGTAGAGTGGTACCATACATGAATGGACTTAAATACGGAAAATTTATATCTTTCATGATAAAGATTATGGAGCAAAATATGCTTTTGGTCCTTGAAGTTTGAGTTTGGTGTCTATGTGGTCTCTAAAGTTTCCAAATCTAGTGTCTAGACTTGGATCACTTCATTTTATACCTTTTGTTCCTGATTTGGTCTGGCTGGTTTGGAACGGAGAAGACCAGATCTAGTCTTTTAGATGGCGGCTAGTTCGTTTTGGACGCCAGTGACAATAGTAGCAAATAATGGTAGCAACTCCCAAAAATGAGAGGAGAAGGGAAGAAAGATAGGAAGGTGGAGAGATAATGCCACATCAGTTTTTTTTTTTTTTTTTGACTCATTTGAAAGTGTGTAAAGTCATTCACCTATTAATTGCCATGTCATTTTTTTGTTAGGTCAACTAACAGTAAATAAGCTCAGGACCATTTTCTAAACTTCAGGACTAAATTGTTTTTTTGAAACTATAGGAATTGAATAGACACCGAACTCAATTCTCACAGATTATTATGGGTGAGAAAATGGATCCGAAAAATCGAGCCAACTTACTGAAACTGACCAAACCAAGGTTGGTCCGTTGGTTTCACATAGTGTTCGATTGGTGGTCGGTTCTGAAATTTTAGAACGTTGATCGGTAGCAATAAACTCCTCAAAACCGACTGACCGATCGAGGTGAAAAAAAGAAAAAAAAGAAAATACAAAGTCATTTTTCTAAAAAGGTTTGTTTTCGACGACGGTTTTGGCAAAAAACCGACCTCGACCAATCAACAATTGATGCTCAGCCCTACAGATTCTAGTGTATTTCCCAAGATTTTGTCGCCAACATAACATTTATGCCAAAATTTTTTTAAACTCTTGGCAACTTTGTACCTTTGCTTTATCTTGGTGTAAATGCTTATCAGTTTTCTGATCTTTTTTCTAATTGGAAGGTTGTTCTTTTTTTTTAACTGATTGAAATATTGTTATATTGTTTCCTACAAAAACAAAAATTTGTACCATTACATTGCATCAATCTAGTGAGTCAACCTTCAATTTGTTTTTAACAAGATATGAGAGTCAACTTTGGATTTGAAATCCGTTAGGCTTACTTTTTTTGTTTTTTTTTTTTGTTTTCTAGAACTTGTTTTGTTCTTTTTCGTTCCATGTTATGCACATAGTTGAATAAATTTCCTAATTTATGGTTCTATCTATCTGGATATCAATAAATATTCTAGGTTTCATCTTTACAAGGAGAACAAGGACACGCAAGAGGCATTGGGACTTATAGGAAAGATGCTTGGCATCCAGGTATGCATACTCTTAGTCTTATCTTATTTCTCAATCTAATATACGCCATTTCACCAACCTTCTTCAGAGATCTTTTTATTATTTTTATTTTTCCTTCCTGTTATTTACAACATGGATAAACTTTTTGTGAACTCCTAGTTCATCACCTTTTGGGTGGATTGGGATCACTAGGAGAGGATGAAGTTCCCTTGTGGACAGCTCGATTCACTATCTCCAACTCTTTGAGCATATGTATATTTTTTYATGATTATGTAATTGTGCATGTGTAAAAAGAAAATTTTGTTTGTGATATTACACTCGCTTCATTTTGAGTTCGGAATATAGTTTAGGCTAGTCTTGGTTGCAGTAATTATTGTTCTTCCTCATTCTAGTTTTCTTTGCAGACAAGGTCTTTTGGTTTTTCTGGCACAAAGGATAAGCGCTCCATCTCAACTCAAAGGGTAATTATTTCTTACCATTTTTTTTGCTTGCTTTTGTGTTTTTCTAATGATTCTTCCCCACCATTGCTGGAGAGACAAGGTCTTTTGGTTTGGGCTCTCTTTTAGTTAGTGATTTCGAGGCGCACTCGGGCGCTACCCTCATGCGAGAGACGAGATGATTTCGCCCAGGTGCGCCTTGCAAGGTGCCAAGGTGAGCTCCTTCAACCGGACGCTTGCCTTCGTGCGAGGTGCGCCTTTCGCCTGAGGCAAGGTGATCGTCTCGTTGAAGTGAGGCGATTTGCCTTATTTATTTATTTATATCTTTTTTTTTTTTAAATACGTTTAGAAAGTCCTCTCCTCCCTCGTCAATTACCTCCAAGTCCAAGAATCATCTCAGATGTCACCATTGATTTCTTCTCGGCCATAACTTTAGTATGGATTGCACTGAGCTAAACAAAAGGCCGAATCTAGAAGGAAACAAACAGAATTAGGTTGAAACAAGATGAGTGAGACAAAGCCGAACCGAAGCCAAACCAGAGCAAACCGGACCAATACGAACCGAACTGAACCTGAACTAGATGAAATAGACCGAACCGGAATGAAATAGACCAAACAAAACCTGAATTGGATGAACCAAGCCGAATTGAACCAGACTAGATGAATCGAACCAAATGAACCAAACCGGTTGAGCCGAACCAAGCAAATGTCTTGATTTGAGAAACCCTAGCAACTGCGTCTTGAACTCACTCATGACATAGGAACAGTTATAAGACGAGATGAGAAAGAACTGAAAATTAGAACATCGTCGGCATATTGAAGGTGAGTGACTTCAATGGCATTGCTCCATATTGTGAAGCCTCTTATAATGTTCCCTTATAGCAGAAATGGATAAGCCGAACATCATCACAGATCTTACAAAATTGGTGGGGACTGATCACCTTTTTCTGTTGGTGTCGGGGCTTTCTTTAAATGTGACCAAGACGGCTTTGATAGGCTTAAATTGTAGCCTTGATGAGACCAAACTTTGGGCTTCTACCTTGGGGTGCAAGTTAGAATCCTTTCCCTTCACTTATTTGTGCTTTCCCCTAGGAGGTAATCATAAGTCTGCTGGCTTTTGGGATCCGATGGTGGATAAGATGCACAAGTATCTTAAAAAATGGAGCTATATGATGCTCTCGAAAGAGGTCGTGATGCAGTCTTGCACACAAAGTTTGATAATATTTCAATGAATCCTTTATTAATGAAGCTGAAGCCTATTTATAGAACACTTGATAACAGCAGTAAACTGAAAAGCTAACTAAACATAAGCTAAAACTAAGGGTAATTACATGGTAAAAGCTATTTAACAGCTACTGACTACATCAATTTCCCCGACCCAAAAGATAAAACTCATCCTCGAGTTTAAAAGCAGTAGAGTTAGAAGGTTGTGAACAATCCTCAAAATAGAAACTCACTTCTTCTTGTGGTTCAAGAATACTCTGATCGAAAATGCCCTTTTTAACTCATCAAAAGAATGATAAAGTGACCAAACTGAATTAAATCCCAATAAATTTTGATGCAGTAGTTTGTTGAGACAAAAGTCTTCCAAATTTTCAACATTCTTTTTCACGGTATCCTTCTCAAAACTACCCACTTTCTTCTTCATTCCAATACTTCTTAAAATTTTCTTGGAATAACTAGAAATTGAATTGGCCGAATGAGTTTGGTTCTCAACTTTCCCACACATTGAATCTTTCTCCTTCTTGGATCTACATTCTTGAAGTCTACTTGGAAGGAAGAGCTTTCTTGCCTTTTCTTGTAGCCTATGTCTTAAAGTTCAATTGGAGAATCTTCATCTCCTTCATCAAAATAATCAGCAAAACTCAAAAGAAATTCATCTTCTATGTTATTTGAACTTATCGAAGGGAGTTTTCTTTGGAAAAAATCAGAAGCCGGTAAAAGATTCTCCCTTTTCATTGGCTCATCTCGACAATTCTTGTGAAATTCTTTATAAACCTCTTCTTCCCCATCAAAATAATTGTCAAAATTAAGAAAAAACTCATCCTTTTGTTCAATTGCCTCAATCTGAGAAGAGTTTTGGATTCCACAATTTTTGAAATCATCATCGAAGGCATCAACTTGAGGCAAAATTGAGTTACCTCTTGCATCCTCTGAAATTTTCATTGGTCTTATGAAATCATTTGAAGTGTCTTCACTCTTTTGGTGGCAAAATCTTCCCATCTTGGTTAAGGTATCACTTGGGTTTTTTTCTCTAGTTGGGAGTTTTGTAAAATAAGAAAGAAAGAAAAATTTCATGGCTGTTGTTTGGAGTTTGGTGGCAAAATACCTCAGTCTTGAATGAAACTAATTTGTTAAAATTCGTACAAACTCCAACATTGTTGCTTGAACCTTCTTGGTACCTTCTTGGCATACAAACTCCAAGATTTTGGTTGAAGTCTTGCCGGACAGCTCGTGGTTCTTGGAGCATTCTTGGTTCAAGAACATAATCTTGGTACCTTCTAGGCTGCACAAGGTGCTGTTCTTGGAGGTTTCTTGGTCTCCGATTGACTTCTTGGACTCTTCTTGGTGGTGTATGGTACCTCTCTTGCAGGTAATTAGTCCTTTGATCCTCCATCCACATTTCTTGATCCAATCTTGCAGAATTTTGAGGAGTTCTAATCGTAGATTGCTGTACGCTCATTTCTTCGAGCTTGTCATGGATGATCTCCCAAATTGGTTTAATCTCGCCGACATCTTGCTGGATAGTTTCACCTCTCCTTCATCCGACAGCAAGCGTGCGGTTGATGATCGTGGCGAGAGAATGGAGGCTTGCTCCACTTCTTTATTGACGAGAGAAGAGTCATCAATGTTGATCGACTTCTTTCCCGCCATACAACCTAGAAAATCGGGATGCTCTGATACCAATTTGATGCAGTCTTGCACACGAAGTTTGATAATATTTCAATGAATCCTTTATTAATGAAGTTGAAACCTATTTAGAGAACACTTGACAACAGTAACTACTGTTACTGTGCAGTAAACTGAAAAGCTAACTAAACATAAGCTAAAACTAAGGGTAATTACATGGTAAAAGCTATTCAACAGCTACTGACTACATCAGGTTGCCTTACATTGGCTCAATCCGTTCTTAACAGCATCCCCATCTATTATCTTTCAATCCTCAAGCCTTCTAAGGTAGTGATATCTTGATATCATATTGACTTTCAGGGGAGGAGAGAAAATAGGAAGAATAACAAATATGATTTCCTTGAAAAAATTAATTACTTGATACAAACCTAATAACCTATTTATAATTCAATAATTCCTAAACATATAGGAATTGGAATCTTAATATAATTAATAATAATATAAAATATACTAGCCGTTGAAGTGGGAAGGGAGAAGGTCTGTCTTTCTCATCTTCAGTTTGCAGACGACACTATTTTCTTTTGTTCTGGGAAGGATAGCTCGTTTTCGAATCTGAACGGTCTTCTGGGCTTCTTCGAATCCATTTCAGGCCTTAAGATTAACAGAGGTAAGAGCTCCATCTTGGGGGTTAACTGTGATCCTGGTAAGCTTAGCGCTTGGGTGTCTCAGGTGGGGTGCGAAGTGAGTGGTTTGCCATCCTCTTACCTTGGTCTCCCCTTGGGCCATAATCCTAAGAGTGCTAGTTTTTGGTCGCCGGTACTTGAAAAGTGTCATAAACGTCTTTCCTTGTAGAAGAAAGCCTTTTTTTTCTAAAGGGAGGAGACTCACTCTGATTCAGTCCGTTCTTAGGGGCATTCCGACCTATATTTTGTCCCTTTTCAGGATCGCTGTGGCTGTTAGTGAGAGCATAGAAAAGATTATGAGGGATTTTCTCAGAGAAGGGGTGGAGGAGGGAGGTGGGTCTCATCTTGTTAGTTGGCATTCTGTGGTGAAGCATTTGGATATGGGGGGTTTGGGCATCAGAAAGTTGAGGCTTAGAAATGAGGCGTTCTTGGCTAAATGGTTGTGGCGTTTCTTCCATTAACCTAGCACCTTGTGGCGAAGGATTATAGTGAGCAAGTATGGGCCGCATCCTTTTGAGTAGGTCTCGGCAGGTGGTGCTAAGGTAAACAATAACAATCCTTGGAAGGCTATTGCTTTGTGTCTTCCCTCCTTCTCTCAGTTCCTATGTTCTTCTTTGGGGGAGGGCCATAATACCTATTTCTGGGAGGATACTTGGGTGGGAGATAAACCTTTTAGTCTTTTGTTTCACAGGCTCTACCATCTTTCTGATAAGAGGTTGCATTCAGTGGACTCTCTTCTATCAGGGTACAAACACGACGGAGAAAATTCAGAAGAATCTCCCCTATTGGACATTGTCCCCTGATTTTTGTAGTTTATGTTGGCAGAATTCAGAAAATTTTAGATCATCTTTTCATGCATTGCACCTTTGCATCTCAAGCTTGGGTTTATGTGGCTTCTCTCCTGGATTTCTCTTTATGTCTCCCTCGGTATATTGATGATTTCATTGCTGAAGGTTTCGGTGGAAATGCCCTCAAAGGCAAAGCCTTTGTCCTTTGAAATTGTGCAACAAGGGCAATCCTTTGGCTTCTATAGTGGGAAAGAAATAGCATAATTTTTTATGATAAATTTGTTTTTTTTAGATTCTTTTTTTGAGAATATCAAGCATACGACTTCTTGGTGGGCTTCTATCACAAGAAGGTTTTTTGTAATTACAGTCTTCTTTTGATTATGCGAAATTGGAAAGCCATGATTGTATAGTCCTTTGGGGAGGGTTTGGGTTTTCTCAGCCTCCGCCATTAGGTTGTCTTTTTCATTTTTTGGGCTTCGGTTAATATATCCCTTATATGTTTCTTATCAAAAAAAAAAAAAAACACTTGTTTACATAAACTAATACTAATTTATGAGGGGGGGAATTAATAAATTGATGTCCAAAATAATTAGAGAATGGATAGGACAAGTTTAATCAAATGATAGAAAGTGGCTGGAATTGTTTTCTTTCATAAAGAAAATAAAAGAATATACAAAAAGACATCCAACAAAAGAGCCAAAATATAAGACTAGAGTCCAAATAAAAAGTGCTCCAATCCAAAAAGGCCAAAAAAATAACTCTTGATTGTTAATTGTAAAAAATCTTTGAGGCATTAAATCTAGCGAGAAACAAAATCTCCTCCCAAGACCTCTTAATCCCTCTAAAAATTATATTATTTCTCTCTTGCCAAATGCCCTACATAATACTATAGCAAGAAAACGAGTGCCAAAGTACTTTTCCCTTATCATGAAAGAGGGGACAAATTCCCAAAATTTGTGAATCTGCCCTGATACCACCGTATAGATAGTCCGGTAGGTAAAAATGATTTTATATGCAATTTTTCAAATGTAAAGCCAAGAGCACCGAGACAATAAACACTGAGAAGATTGACTCAAGAACAAATTTTATTAAGGGCTCCATAGCGTGCTAACATTCTGAATTGGTTTCAGTTTCAGAACATCTTTCTCTGGCAAAACCCAGATTAAAAGGTCTATTAAAAGCCCATTTTCTATGATTACGAGGTCATTCTTATGATCATCACGCTTAACCAAGAGAGGGGAGGGAGGTGGTGGTTGATCTTGTATTGATTGAAGTTATTTCCACTAACTTGTGACCTTTATAGTACTGAAAATCTTAGTTTCTTATTGATGGTGGCCAGTCACAATTAAGGGCAAGTGTTGAGCTCACTTGAATAAACTAGAAAGGCAAAGCTGAATACAACTTAGATATTCATTCCAAATTCAGGTTCATCTAAATTTCATCCTAAACAGTGTTTTCGAGGCGCACCCAGGCGAGCGCCTCAGGCGAAAGGCGAGGCGATTTCACCTAGGTGTGCCTTGAAAGGTACCAAGGCGAGAGCCTTCAATCGGGCGCTCACCTTGGCGCGCTTCCTAGCGCCTGGGCGCGTCCTTGCCTTATGGCAAGGCGAGCGCCTCGTTGAACTTAAGGAGAACCCACTTCAAAATTAAAAAAATAAAAAAACGAAAGGAGAAGGAAGAGTAAGAAAAAGAAGAAGAGAGAGAGGAGAAAAGTAGGAGATGAGGAGGGAGAGATGGTAGGTAATGTTGAAGCGTTGAAGAAAGAAGAGAAAAAGATCCAGAACATGAAGAAGAAGCATAGTTGAAGAAGAAAACCCTTTTTTTCTTTTCGGTGCAAGAAGATGAAACGTTTGAAGGGCCTCATTTCCTAGAAGCAATAAAGAGGCTTCATTTTTCTAGAAACAAATGATCTGTATGTTAAACTGTCATATGGCAGTTTCGTTTTCCCATAAATACAGCTGTTTCCATTTAATTATTTGGCTTTTACTGTTTATTTTAAATACAATTGAACTATTTTTTAATTATTTATTTTAAATACAATTTATCTCTACTTTTTCTTCTTTATGCCTACTTTTCTGAATTATTTATGTTCATTTTTATTTGAATATTATTTTCTTTTCAAAATTTTCACATTTTTTAAAATTGAATATTGATTTATTTTACTTATAAAAATTATTTATTTATTATTTTATTTGGTGCACCTTGCTTCACTCAGGCCTCGCCTTTTATCGCCTCTCGCCTTAAGGCGATCTAAAGGCTTGTCGCCTTGAGGTGCGCCTTGCGCCTTGAAAATGCTGATCCTAAGATATTTAGTTTGTATTAGGAGGATGAAAAACACACTTCAAAATATTCGTATTTCCAAAACTGGAAAGTAAAAATATGCCTTAAAAAAGAAAAGAAGAAAAACCAAGAGAATATCCAAGTAGCTACAAGCTAGAATATGTTTAGATAGGATGAATTGGTTTCATTGAAGGTCTTATTTTTATTTTATTTCAATGTGAAACAAGACTCTGAAATAAAAAGATAGGGAATTCTTCTTTTGTCTATAAGCAAAGCCAGCGTACTGGTGCAAGTAAAAAATTCTGACCTTGTCAAATCTGTTCTGTTTGCTTGGGCATTTTATTTTAATGTCATTTGTTCCATTTTTTTGGCATCCTTAATTTTTCGGAGAAGACTTTCTCACTTGTTTATGAGCAATTGGGTCTTATACATTGAAAGGAAAATACTTCTTTCCTTTCCAGGTTACTGTATTTAAACAACACGCAAGTAGATTAGCTGCTCTTAATGATCGGTTGATTGGTATCAAGTTGGGTAACTTTAGGTAAGACTAAACGATTGATTTTCATGCTTTCAAAACATCTCAAAATTTTTATGCATGCTTGTTTTCTCAATACTTTGTTTTCCAGCTATATCCAGGAAGGGCTTCTTCTTGGGCAGCTTCTAGGTAACAGGTTTACCATTACCTTGCGGTGAGTTTGTCACTGAAATCCATTTAGTAGGTTTTAAACATTGTAGTATGTTATTTGATGTTTAAAGTTTAATGATTCAATTACGTACCCACCGTGCATCTTCTCAGAGGAGTTGTAGCAGATAGTGAAGACGCCATCAAAGCATCTGCTGAAGCTCTAGGAAGGCATGGCTTTATTAATTACTTTGGCTTACAGGTACTTCTTTTTAATTTAATATCTCAGCTCATAGATAACCTGCTCCATTCTTATTGATCTTAGGTTATAGATGGGGTGTGTGGTTTGATTCTGACCTTCTTGTCCAAACCCATCATAGCTTGTTCAAATATTAATGGCTTTTGCATAGAGGGACTGTCTTGGATTCATAGGTATTCTCATGGTAAATGGCCTTCAGCGTGCCATAGGTCGCCTCTGGGAGGGAATCCCCTTTTCGTGTATTTTTTGAAGCTGGTGGAAGTGGAAGAACAAATTTTCAATAAACTGTATAATTGGAGAAATATGGTGCTTCCTAACGGCTGAAGACTTGCGCTTGCTAATGTTGTTCTCTTTAGTATCCCCCACTTTTGATCTCTCCATTTTCCAAATCCTTCTAAGGTGGATAGTCTATTGGGGAAAAAATATTAGATATTTCTTGTGGAAGAGAGTTAGAAACACGGGAGCATGTAATCTTGTCAATTGGAAGGTCTCTTTATCGTTGAGAAGATCTCAGCATTGGAAGCCTCAAAAGGAAGAGTTTTGCGCATGTGGATAAATTAAGGTGACACTATTTTAATCAACAGAGGCTCTTCGGAGATATATCATTTATACTAAGGATTTTGGTCCTGGAAGCTGGTTGGCGAGTCGTACTAGTGCCTCTTGTCTTATAAGTCCTTGCCCCTGGAGCATTCTTTCCAAATGTTGTAGTGCTAAATTTCATACATCAATGAAATAATTGAAATGATTTATTGTAAAGAAAATGTTAGTGCTAACAGATAGCATGCGCTAGAAATTTGAGACACTCCCCATCTGTCAGATTCTGATGAAATTTTGGAAAAACTTGTGTAATGCTGTTTGGATAGTTCATGTCTGGAAAAAGTGATAAGTATTTGACTGGTTAGCCTTGTTAGAAAACCTAAACACGGTGGACAAAATGCAACTAAGGTGCCTGTTGCTAGTTCCATGTAGGTTGCAGTGCGTTTTGTGCCTTAATAGGAGTGAAGGCATGTGAGTGTTTGTGTTAAATTTGATTCCCTTTCCTAACATAATTAATAGTAATCTTCACCACTATAGTTCCAATTTTGAATACCTTAAGTAATAAAAACAGGTTCTCCCTAATTACCATTTCTGCTAGGCAAGTGGATCCCTAATTTTTCTCTTAATTTCACTTGATTTTTTCCTGTGCATATGAATTAGCACCGGACAGATTAAATTCCTGGATTTTACGCATCTACTAGGGCTGTCTACAGACGATACCAAAACACTAGATAGGTTTAGATAACAGCACGGATAATAAGCCAAGTGAGACATAAGATAAAAAAAATACACTGCACGTGAATATCTTTTGCTAATTGATGCAATTCAACGTACAAGCATTCTGGATATTTTGCTAACTGATGCAATGTGTGCCATTGAATCAAGCGTTTCGGAAGTGGTTCTGTACCAACTCACCTTGTTGGAGCTTCACTTCTTAGAGGAGAGTGGAAGGGTGCTGTCAGTATGATTCTTGATCCAAGAGAAGGGGATATCCTTTTATTTTCTGTATGCAAGGATAGATTCTCACCCTACTCGTCTACTTCCTCCCAATGTTTTCTCCTTGCAGGTTTAGTTGAATTATTAGTTAATTGTTTTCTTAACATACTCTTTAATTACAAACTAATGTAATTGCAAAGGCAAGAGACTACTACAAAGAAAGTAATGATATTGACGGGACGCTGAAGCAATTACCACGATATTTAGTTGCTGAAAGGGCAATTGTAAGTTTATAAAATACGCTCAATCATTGATTCCTACATACAATGTTCAAAAGTTTTGCATTTTATGTAATAATGTTATAATTATTCCCTTTTAAATGATACAGCTTCAATGTTTGAAGAAATGTCCTGGGAACTATTTGCAGGCACTTAAAGCTATACCTAGAACTTTGAGAATGATGTAAGTAATTATGTCTGAATAATTTTAGTTTTCTTGATGTGGACTATGCTGGTTTTGATGTGGACTATGCTGGTTTTGTGACAAATGAAATGTGGAGATGCATACTATTAGTGAACTGATTGACGCAGTTTACATTGCTTTCTATTTTCATCTGCTAGGTAACTTGACCTTACTAATAGAAACAAAGCTGGCTATTGATTTGTTGCTACAGGGGCAACAAAATCAAATATGTTTAGTATTGCATATCTGAATGGAAAAGGAAAATGGTGAAAGGGAAAAATCTAGAAAAATCTAGCAGATTAACACCATTGAAGCGGGGATATTCTTTCTCAATTCTCATGGAGGTTGGACTAAAATTAGAAATCTACCTTGGATCTGTGGAACCTTGAAACGTTGGTTTTTATTAGGGGCCAATATGAGAATTTCTGGAATAAGCACATATATCTCAATGGATGATGGATTATATGGAGGCTTGTAATGTAATTATGAGAATGACAACTATTCTGGTTTCATTCTTGGAGGAGTTCATATCCCTACCTGGAAAGTGTCTCTTTGGTAGGCCCCATTACTTTATCCTCAGTTACCATCCAAGTTCGTAGTAGTATTCTTTAATGCTCAGTTCCTCATTGGAAAGTGGTCGTAGAGCAAGAAAGTGAGTTGTTTGAAATTCTTGAGAGGAATTGTCATCCGTTTCTAAGAATACCATTTTGTGAAAAGGTGGCTTGTAATGTATTTAGATGTGCCCAGTCTTCTCCCACTAGATCCCGACCCTCTTATTTTCACTAATATTGTACAAGACTATCCAGAGATGGCAAAAGCTTGATGGAAGATGTTGATATTGAGCAAGAATTTTTATATTTTTTTGAAGGCCTCTGCTCCAAGTAGGAAGATTCCAGGTTTTTCCTCACCCTTTGAACTGGGACCCTATCTCCCCCATCAATGTGATCTTTTCGAATCTCCCTTCTCGGAATTTGAAGTTTGGCAAGCTTTGAAATATTTGGGTACCAACAAATCACCAGGTCCAGACGGTTTTACAGCTGAATTCTATAAAAAAATCCTGGAACATTCTCAAAGATGATATCACGAGAGTATTCCAAGATATTTTCAAGAACGGTATTGTGAACGCCAAGCTCAATGAGACTTACATTTGTTTAATCCCGTAGAATGTTGATGCATGTTTGGTTGGTGACTTTCATCCCATTAGTTTGATATCTTGCATGTACAAGATTATTGCTAGAGTCCTTTTGAAGAGACTAAAGAAGGTTCTTCCAATCAAAATCGTAGCCCAGCAGTTTGCCTTTGTGGCTGATAGGCAAATACTAGATGCCTCCTTAATAGCAAACAAACATATTGATGAATGGAAGTGGACAAAAGAAAAAGGTGTGCTCATAAAGTTACTTTGAAAAGGCCTTTTGACAAAGTTGATTGGGATTTCCTTGATGGAATTTTGGAAGCTAAGGGCTTTGGCAAAGATGGAGGAGATGGATTAGAGGTTGCATATTATCTACTTCTCTATCATTATCAACGAGAGACCTAGAGGAAAGATGAGTGCTTTAGGGGCCTAAGGTAAGGTGACTCCCTCTCACCTTTCCTTTTAGTTCTAATTGTTGACTGTTTCAGTAGGATTCTAACACATGCAGTGGTTTCTAATATGATCAAAGGCTTTACGGTGGGTAATAACCTTTTGAGATTCATCATCTACAATTTGAAGACTACAGTATCCAATTTTCTACCAGGACGATAGTCATCTAACAAATCTGTTCAGCTTCATTAGACTCTTTGAAGAAGCATCAGGTTTGAACTCAATCTTCAAAAGACAGAATTGATGGGAATTAATTTGGAGGACTCCGATGTAGACTTATTGCCTGCAAGGTTTGACTGTACAAAAGGCATGGCCAAATACTTACCTGAGTCTCCCCTTGAATTGTAAACATTATACTAGCTCTTTATGGGATCCAGTTCTGGAAAAGGTGAGGAAAAAGCTTAGTTATTGGGGAACTCCCTTATCTCCAAAGGTGAAAGGCTCACCCTCTTACAAGCGAGTTTATCCAACCTCCTATTTACTTTCGATCTTTTTTATCTCATCTAAGGTGGCTAAAGTTCTAGAAAAGATCATGCGCAATTTCCTATGGAAAGGTAACAACATCAAGGCAGGTCTAAGCTTGGTGAGTTGGGATGAAGTTCTCAAACCCATGGAGGATGGAGGGCTTGGATTATATAGCATTAAAGATAAAAATAGGGCTCTCATTGCAAAATGGATATGGAGATATCATGTTGAAGAATCTGCCCTATGGAGAAGAAAGTGATTGATGCCAAATATGGTCCTATCAATTGTCACAAACACACTAATTCCCACTCTTTAGCATCTGCTCGTGGACCATTTGGAGTCTGGAACCTTCTGACCTCTTCTCTACCAGCTCTCTCCTTTGTGACTTGCAAAAGGGCACCAAGAATTCTGAAGCTCAAACGCTGTATAGCTCAATTTGGAAAGATCATTATACAAAGAAGGTAAATTTTTTTCTATGGGGACATGCCTCAATGCCTTAAACACTCACGACAAGCTACAAAGGAGGATGTCACATATGAACTTCTCCCCTCAATGGTGCGTCCTTTGCAAGTACAGGAGTGAATCCCTTGGTCACATCTTTGTCACTTGAAACTTCTTTAGAAGGTTATGGAATAAAATTCTCACTTTTTGGATGGTCTGCCGTTCTTCCCATGGATATGTGCCTCCTCTTAGCTTATTCTCTCTCGGGACATCCTTTTGCCAAGGAGGAAAAAATCATCTGGATGTATTTTGTTTGAGGTTTGCTACGGTATATATGGATGGAAAAGAATAACAGGATCTTTCAAGACAAAGAACAAACTACTGGCCATAGTGCTTGCTTTGTGATGTAAATGGTTTTTGGTCTTTCACCACCGTAGTATCGCTTCTTTGTTATCCAATTAGAGAGCTTTTTTTAACTCCCTTGGATTGGGATGTATCCCTTAATTTCATAATACATAGGAATATGGAAGGTAAGTATGCTCTCTCCTCTTTCCTCCTTCCCGAAGGTCGCAGATGAAATTTGTTCATAGATTTCTTTGAAGATTCTACTGCTCTATTCGGTTTGAATTTCGTTTTCGTCTTTTCAATTTCTTTTATCCAGTGTTTTCGAGGCGTGCCCAGGCGAGCGCCTCAGGCGGGAGGCGAGGCGATTTCACCTAGGTGCGCCTTGAAAGGTACCAAGGCGAGCACCTTGGCGCGCCTCCTCACGCCTGGGCGCGCCTCGTTGAACTTAAGAAAAACCCATTTCAAAACGGAAAAAATAAAATAAAAGGAGAAGGAAAAGTAAGGAAAAGAAGAAGAGAAAGAGAGGAGAAAAGTAGGAGATAAGGAGGGAGAGATGGTAGGTAGAGTTGAACTGTTGAAGAAAGAAGAAAAAAATAACCAGAACACGAAGAAGAAGCATTTGAGGAAGAAAAGCCTTTTTGGAAGAAGAAACTTTTGAAAGGGAAGTTTGAGGGCCTCATTTTCTAGAAGCAATAAAGAGGCTTCATTTTTCTATAAACAAATGTCTGCATGTTAAATCAACATGGCAGTTTCATTTTCCCATAAATACTGCTGTTTCCATTTAATTATCTGACGGAGAACTATTTTTTTACCATTTATTTTAAATACAATTTATCTCTACATTTTCTTCTTTATGCCTACTTTTCTGAATTGTTTAAGTTAATTTTTATTTCAATATTATTTTCTTTTTAAAATTTCACATTTTTAGAATTGAATATTGATTTATTTTACTTATAAAGATTATTTATTAATTATATTATTTAGTGCATCTCGCAACTCAGGCCTCGTCTTTTTATCGTTTCTTGCCTTAAGACAATGAAAGGGCTTGCCACCTTGAGGTGCGCCTTGCGCCTTGAAAACACTGCTTTTAATGTACTAGTACAACAGAGCTAGCAGTTGTTGTATTGATAACATGTTCTTTTTCATTTGAGAGGAGCATGGTATTTTTATGTTAGAAGACGTGATACGTAAAATGCTAATGCCTCTTCACTCATCCCAGTTTTTATTGTTTGAGGATCATCTGGTCAAGGACATAGGCCTCATCCTTATGGATTTGAGAATGATAATTTGGAAATTTGTTGAGTCGTGCCG